TAAGATGGGAGAGTGTCTTATTCTCCATTGCTTCAAGGAACAAAGGTAGAGATTGACCTCTGTGACCCCAAGGTGTGGCGGTACATGCCTTTAGTCCTGATGCCTGGGCGGCAGAGGCAGATTGACCTCTGTGACCTCACGGCGTGGTAGTACACGCCTTTGGTCCCAATGCCTGGGAAGCAGAGACAGGCAGATCTCTGTGAGTTCAAGGTGATGTAGCACACGCCTTTAATCCCAGCGCATGTGCTTGTTAACTCTCTACCGCTGCGTCCCTGCCTACTCCCGAGGCATCATCTGGGATAATGGGCAGCGGACCAATCCAAGAGTGACACGTCAGAAGTGAGGACTGTTTCCTTTATAAGGGCTGGGTTCCCCTCATTCTGGGTCTCTGCCATGTTGGCTGATGCTCGCTCTCCCAAGGGGCATTAAAGCTTTTCTGCAGAAGTATCCTAAGTGCTCCGCGTCGTTCTTGCTGGCGAGGCCGAGCGTGGGGCAGGAGAGGTGGCTCAGCATTTAAGGACATGTGTTATTGTGCCAGGCAGTGGTGGTGAACACCTTCAATCCCAGCACTTGGGAGGCAGAGACAGACAACTCTCAGTGAGTTCGAGGCCAGCCTCGTCTACAAACTGAGTTCCAGGACTACCCCGCAGAGAAACCCTGTCTCAAAAAACAAAATAAAAATAAAAATAAAAAAGAACATGTAATGCTCTTGCAGAGGATCTAGCTTCAATTCTCAGCACCCACATGGTGACTCGTAACCGTCCATCACTCCAGAGAATTCAATGCCCTCTTCTGAGCTCCCGAGCACCAGGCACGAATATGGTGCACATGCATTCATGCAGGCAAAACACCCACACAGATAAAATAAATAAGTAAAAAATCGATAGCACAAGATTAAGACATAAAAATTAAAAAGGGAGGTTGGAGAGATGGTTCAGCAGTTAAGAGTACTGGCTGGTCTTCCAGGGGACCTTGGTTTGGTTCCCAGCACCCCAGTATGGGCACATAGCCTTCTGTATTGAACTACAGCGTATGTAATAGCCTCTTCTGGTCTCTGAGGGCACCGGGTATGAAAGTGGTGCAGCACACACATGCAGGCAGAGCACCCATACACACAAAACTAACTAACTAAATAAGCAAAGTTGCAAGGAATTGGCAAACCTTCTTACTAAAGAAACAAATACAAATACAATTCTCTGAGATAATTGTTAATCACAAGTCTTAGTATGGCATAGGCATGACTGAAACCAAGGACATAATGACATTTGCCTCTCTCTCTCTCTCTCTCTCTCTCTCTCTCTCTCTCTCACACACACACACACACACATGTACATACACACACAAATACTTCCAGAGAGTTGATAACATCCATTTAATTTTTTATTTATCTGTGTTTTTAGAGGATAATAGCTATGCACCATTTACCTTTGATGATGTCTGTCCTCAGTCCTCAAAGCAAACACTAAGTATTTCTTCTTCTTCTTCTTCTTCTTCTTCTTCTTCTTCTTCTTCTTCTTCTTCTTCTTCTTCTTCTTCTTCCTCTTCCTCTTCCTCTTCCTCTTCCTCTTCCTCTTCTTCTTCTTCTTCTTCTTCTTCTTCTTCTTTTTTTGAGACAGGGTTTCTCTGTAGCTTTGGAGCCTGTCCTGGAACTAGCTCTTGTAGACCAGGCTGGCCTCGAACTCACACAGATCCAACTGCCTCTGCCTCCCGAGTGCTGGGATTAAAGGTGTGCACCACCACCACCCAGTAGTATTTCTTGATTACTTGGATGAATTCCTAATATCTATAGAAGAACATCATTAACAAATGTATATTGGTTACGTTCTCATTGCTATGATAAAATACCATGCCCAAGGCAATGTAAAGAAGAAAGAAGTGTATTTGACTTGTGGTTCCTGCGGGACAAGAGTCCATCATGGCAGGGAGTGTAAATCCCAAGCAGCAGGCCAGAAGGCATCAGATCCCCTTGTTGGACTCTAGTGTCCAAACTGAGAAGGAGTCGACCCCAGAGACCACCTCATATACCACAGTCGATGCAAAAGCATGAGGATTTTATTAATTCTGTCATGACAGGGTCCCTCAGCATTCGGGAAGTCGAGAGACCCCCGAATAGCTGGTACAGCTACTTTTAAAGGAGAAGGCCCCATAGAAACAAGAGGGGTTGTTCCTTGACCATTATGATTGGTTTATTTGAAAAGGGTTAATATCAATAATTGGCTGGAGAGCTATTGTCAGATCAGATGAGGTAAGAGGTCATTTTGACCCCATTTCCCAGGGGACTGAGTCAAAACATACGTGTGTGGGTAATTGTTCAGGAACTGAGTACGTGCATGTGTAGCTGTTAGGTCCTTGTTCCCAGGGGAGGAGGGGAAGCACTAAGGCACAGAGGCTGAGAGGGTTTGGAATTGCCAGAAATGGCTTCAGAATTGTCCAAAATCTTACACCCTGAAACTGGAGTTACAGAGTTTATGAGTTGTCTGATGTAGGTGCTGGGAACCAAACTCTGGTCCTCTGCAAGAGCAGCAAGGCTCTTAACCACTGAGCCATCTCTTCAGCCCTTCTACCTTACTTTTTTGGAATAGGCTGACTGGGCTATGTCCCAAATTTGAGACAATTTGGCTAGGCTGGTTGGTCAATGAGTTCCAGGGATCTGCCTGTCTCTGCCTTTCAGTGCTGGTATTACAGGCCAACACTGTGGGGGCTGTACTCTTCTTTCCTTCCTTCCTTCCTTCCTTCCTTCCTTCCTTCCTTCCTTCTTTTTTTCTTCTTTTTTTTTCTTCCTCCGTCTCCTTTTTCTGACAGGGTTTCTCTGTGTGGCCCTGAATGTCCTGGAACTCACTCTGTAGACCATACTGGCTGCAAACTCACAGAGATCACTGCCTCTGCCTCCCAAGTGCTGGGAATAAGTGCTGGCAGGGTCTGACTTTGATGTGAATGCTAGGGATCTGAACTCAGGTCCTGGTGCTAGCCTGGCAGAGACTTAACCAATTAAGCCATCTGCCTAGCCCCTCCCTTGGAGTTTCCCTTAGTATTATACTAATTACACAAAGTAAAGGCTAGTTCCATATGTGTCTGAAGGTATACTTTGATCATCTCATCATCCTTTCTTAATGCCTTCCTCCCCACATTTTGCCCTTCATCCCTGCTAATCTTTCTTTTCCTTTCAGCTTTAGATTCTACATATGACAGAAAACATAGGATACTTTGTGAAAATGGCTTCCTTCACTTCTCCCTGCAGACAACATAAGTGCATCCTTCTTTACAGCTGAATAAAATTCCATTTTACACATATAAACAGATTTTTTTTTGAGACAGTGTTTCTCTGTGTAGCCCTGACTGTCCTGAAACTTGCTCTGTAGACCAGGTTGGCCTGGAACTCAGGGTTCCACCTGCCTCTGCCAACCAAGTACTGGGATTGAAAGTGTTAACCACCATGCCCAGCTATATACAGAATTTGCTTTATCCACTCATCTATCCACCAATAAATGAATACTGATATGAACAGATATTGGTAGAGAGATGAATGGCTCATTCATATTTATTGTGCATTAGTAAATATGGGAATATGGGCATTTCTTCTTCTTCTTCTTCTTCTTTTTTTTTTTTTTTTTTTGGTTTTTTGAGACAGGGTTTCTCTATAGCTTTGGAGCCTGTCCCGGAGCTAGCTCTTGTAGACCAGGCCACAGAGATCTGCCTGTCTCTGCTGGGATTAAAGGTGTGCACCACTACTGCCCAGCGAATATGGGCATTTCTATAGTAAACTAACTTGGATTCTTGCAGATATATACCAGAACTAGTGCGGCTGGATTATGTAATACTTCTAATTTTAATTTTGAGAGGAATCTTTATACGGATTTCCATAGTGAATGGCTTAATAATTTATGTTCCCATCAGCAGGATTTCACTTCTCCCTAGTGTGATTACTGTTTTAGATTGCACGTGTGGTCCATGTATTTTTTTTTTATTGGACAGTATATTACTCTAGAAGGCTCTAAAGGTTAGAAAAAATGGTTGGTTAGAAAAATGGTTGGGCAGAGGTTGGGTGTTGTTCGTTTGGTTGTTGTTTTTTATTTATTTGCTTGTTTGTTTACTTACTTATTTATTATATATATAGTGCTGGCATCAGATCTCATTACAGATGGTTGTGAGCCACCATGTAGTTGCTGGTAATTGAATTCAGAACCTCTGTAAGAACAGTCAGTGCTCTTAACCTCTGAACCATCTCTCCAGCCCATGATTGTTGTTGTTTTAATACAGGATCTCATCATTTAGCCAGGTTGGCCTTGAATTCGAGATTCTTCTGCCTTAAACTCTCAAGGGCTGGAGTTGTGAGAGTGTGTCTCTTTGGCCCTGGAAAAGGCACGGGAGGCATAATGGGGCTGTAAATTAATCGCTTTCAACAAAAAGTAACACGGAGTCCAGGTGGTTGCTCCAGGATGTCTGTCATTTGCAAAGGTGTCAAATACACTTAAAGTCAAGTCTCCGGGACCTAGTCCAAGTATCTTTGGTCTGTCAAAGGGATGAAGGGCGAGTGGCCTAGGCCATGCGATTGAGCCCAGACAAAGGTCCCACCCGAAGGTCTGGGAGGACCATTAGCCCCATCACAAGAACTAGCAAGTGGCCCCACAACCTCCCCACAGTTTCCCCTGCTAACGCAGCCAGATTAAGAAGAGGAGTAAGCATCAAACCTTTTTATTTCATCGAAACAATAATTTCGTGAGAAATCTTCAAGAATATCCGAAATGGTTGGAAAACGTTTAAGAAGCAGCCAGACTGCGGGACTTTTCGAAGATACTGGAGGTACACTGGGAGCCTTTGGGCTCTGACATCTTTTCAGCGATCTCAGATCTTTGCTAGATCGGCAGTTTCCGGAATCGTTCGGCATAGCCTCGAGAATGTCGCCCTCTGGCGGCGGGATTAGGAAAGGGCATGGGAGCCAGCGCGCGCAGACGCAGTTGAGTACCGGCGGCGGTTCGGACCGGAAGTGGTTGCACCTGAGATCACTTCCGGCGGGTGACGGTGCGGACGGGTCAGGAGCGTAGAGGCGGCGGCAAAATGGCGGCGCCTGAGGAGCAGGATCTAACTCAGGAGCAGACCGAGAAGCTGCTGCAGTTTCAGGTAGCAGCGAGTTCTCGGTGCAGCAAAGGCCGCCGCGGGATGGGGAGTGGGGCCCTATAGGAGCGCACAATCACCCTCAGGTTGGGGTTGGGCCCATTTTCAGAGCGGCGGGCGGCCCCCTCCCCCCAGACACCAACTGCCCGGATTTCCCCGACCCCCGAGCTCTGTCGGTACCCAGCCTTCCAGCCACCGCTGCCAGCCAGGCTCGACCGCGGTGGGTCAGCTGCCATAGTTTCCCTTAGCGGCGCGGGTCCGCAGCCCTTGCCAGCCTGGCTAACCCGCCAGACCCTCTCCGCCCATCGAGATCCTATATCCCCAGCGCAGAGTTGGCGTCGGCTCGCGGGTCTGGACCGCCGACCACCGTCCGGTGCTATTCACAGACGTTTGCCGACGGTCTCTTGGTTGCTAGATCTTGTGTTGAGGGCTGTGATAGGGAAGGAAGCTCCTACACACAGACCTGGCACCTGCCCTAGAATGTGGGAGGACGCCACATGCGGAAAACAAGGCAACATTGAGTCTCGTCGATGGCTGCTGACTGGATTTGTTACCTTCGGCTTTCTCCTGAACTGCTGACTATGCTTGAGGAGGGTGGCAACTTGCAGGACTCGGCTTCCAATTAGTGGATGTTACGTTTTTGTTTTTGTTTTTCTTAAAAGCACTAAACCCTTAACCGAGGTGGAGAGTCTGGTCGAAAGAGGCCACCGTGGTGGTAACCATGGCACTATTGGCCAGTTGCCTTAGTTCTTAAACAGACTTCAGAATGTCTGTTCCCTTGAGGATGTTTTGGAGGTAAACTGGAGTTTATGGATGTTACAAGGTATTAAAAGCACTCTGTAAACAGTAAAATGCGCCTGAACAGTTGCTATTAATCAACATTTAACTTCAGGTAGAACTAAAGTTTATAGAACTTGTTTCCTAATAGTAAATGTGCCAAGAATTCATTTTGAGCAGTTTTTATTTTTTTAAAATGAAAAATCTTAGTGCCAGACACGGCTAGTTAGAATATTGCCCACCTAAATATTTATGAAGCTGTGGGACCTTCGCTAACACTTAGCATGTTACCTTGTCTAACACACAGCATATGGTGTTCATTCTGTGACAGCCCCTGTCTCATACATGGGTATGGATCGTAAGAAGTAGCACCAGTGGATGTGGCCCGAGACTGTAATCTCTGCAGACAGGAGGTGGAAACAGGAGGATTCAGAGTTTGAGGCCAGCCATTTCCCAAACAAAAGGAAACAGCATGCTTAGGCCACACAGCTAATAAATGCTGGTGTCACAGAAGCACGGTCTTTCTGAGCCTTTCGTGGGCTTTTGAAGTCTCAGCTATACAGCCTGCATTAGAATGTGTAGTGGGCTCTAACTGCTGTGGTGTTTATCTTGTGTGTGTGTGTATATGTGTGTGGGGGTGTGGGTGTAAAGCAATGTGTTGGGCGTGTGTAAATGTTAAAATACTAGCATAGGCCTTGTTGACATTTGAATGGAGCTTGTAATAGAGAGATTGATGACAGCAGATTAAAGAATGAAGAGCCAGCCTTCACTTCTGTGGACTACTCCCTTCGGGGTTTTTTTTTTAACTTGGGCAGATTACACTTCACACCTCTTAGGGGTAAGCCCCACGTGAAATGGGATGTGAGTTATACAGTACGTGTGTGAATATACGGCAGTGTTTGTGAAATAAAATGCTTAAGGAACTTCTGGTCTTCAGTGGACATCGTCAGAAGAGAGGTGGCTAGCAGGTTAATAATATTGTTGTAAGATTAAGTTAATGTCAAGATTTATGAAGTTGAATTTATTCAGAAATTTTTGTGTATTTCTATAAGCAAGCCTGGATCAGATTTATCATTTCAAACTGCTCTTAAATATTGCTTGACATTTGTACATATCAGACATTATAGCCTTAAACTTCTTCAGAGGACCTTAAGGGGTTAACTGCTGCTCTTTTATTACTGAAGAAAATAGATATGAGCCAGGTGATTTGCACAAATAATGCCTTGCATATATTAAAAAATTCTCATTCATAAGTATCATGTTTGTATCCTATTCTTGCAGCCAGGGTACATAACATGAATAATGGGAGTGCCCAGAAAGCTCTTTGGGCTATGTCTGTGTCTGTCTGTGTCTTTGTTTTTGGAGTTTAGGGAAGAGTTAACTTATTGATGTTAAAGGAAGGATTTGTTTCCTACTGTGCCATTACCTACTATTAACCATTATGCTTAATCCACACAGTTAGCTTGTAAATACAAATGGTGGTGTGTCTGTCGTATCTGGTAGAGACAGATTTGTTGATTTACTTGCTCAAGACTGAAGTTGTTAGTAGAACTCTGGTGGGTCTAGCTCTTGACTGACAGGGTGAGCTCTTAGCGCAGTGCCTTGCAGCTTTGAAGGCGGAATAGAATTCCAGCAGCTAGTGGGCAGGAGAAAGTTCACAGCTGAGGAAATGGGCTGCTCATGTGGATTTGGGGAAGCGTGGCTGTGTCTGTTGTAATACATAGACTTCAGAATAAAAGATAAACTAGAGCCAGTTTGGAGACTGATCGATTCTATGCTCAGTTCTGCAAACGGAGACAGTTAGGAGAGTTTTTAAACTAGGGAGAGTAACGGCACAGGTTTGGGTTTGCTTCTCTAGCAGTAGAGGTCGTGTGCTTAGAATCTGCACAGGCGTCAGAGGAGAGCAGGTTGGCACTGCTGACAGTGTTTTCAGCGTTTGCTCACATTTCACGTGTTACAGTTGTGGCAGGCATGGTGGTTCACACCTGTAATCCAGTGCCAGCACTTGAGAGGTTAAGAGCCCCAGCTATAGGCTAGGCAGTGGTGGCACACACCTTTGGTCCCAACACTGAGAGGCAGAGGCAAGTGGATCTCTGAGTTGAAGGCCAGCTTGGTCTACAGAGCGAGTTCTAGTACAGTCAGGGATACACAGAGAAATCCTATCTTGAACGCCCCTCCTCCCCCCACAAAAAGAGGATTGCTTTAGGTTCAGGGCCGGCCTGGGCTATGTAGTGAGTTTCAGGTTAGTTACAAGGTGAGGTCTCAAAAAGCCTAAATAAACAAATTAGTAGAAATAAAGCATTTCAGGAAATCTGAGATTTCTTATGTTTGGTTTTGTGTGTGTGTGTGTGTGTGTGTGTGTGTGTGTGTGTGTGTGGCATATGATTGGATTAGAATTTTCTAAAGCTATTTTACCATTTCTCAGTCCCTTTGATCTTTTTAAGTTTTGTTTTGTATGTATGTATAATTCTCATGGCTCTGGTTTATTTTGGATCCAGGTGAGTAAATAATGTGGGCATCTGTTTTGAGTTATTTCTATTGGAAAATGATAGGTGTATAAACTTAAAGAGGAAATGCAGGTATGTCGAATATAACTTTTATTGAAGTCAGTGTCCCCAAATTTCCAAATCTGCAGACTTCTCCAGTGCTTTAGTTTACTGCCTCTGGGCTGGGGTTTTAGCACCGAGGGGGGAATGGCCTGGTCAGAAGGAAAGGCAGAGATGTACCGTTTCCTATAGGAGGACGTGATCCCTTTCTGTTTGCACAGGAATGTGACATTTCCCCCTTTTTTTGTTTAAAGAACTCGTTATGTTTTATTTATTTAAATTGTATGAGTGTGGAGCTACACATACCATGACACACATGTGGAAGTCTACAGTTTGGGAGAGGCAGTTTGATCCTTCTGCCATCTGGGTTCCAAGGATGGACCCCAGGTCATCAGGCTGGTCAGACAGTGTGTTTACTCACTGAGCCATCTCATTAGTTTTGTTTGTTTCTCAGAGAGGGTTTCACTGGGTATCCTATGTAGCCCAGGCTTACCTCAACTGCCACTTAGGGGTAGAGATGACAGGTGTGTCACTACCACACCTGACTGAAAAAAAACCTAAGTGGGTAACAGGACATAACTCACATTCTCTTTAAGTTATTTAAAGCAAAGTCTGGACTCTGAGCTATAGTGTAGGTACCCAGGTCTTTTTCCCTTTTCTTCCTTGGCATTTTGCAGGGCTGTTTGACCTCTGGCCCCTGGAGATTCTGCATTAGCACTGGCTTGAGGGTAGCTTAGAAAGAACATGGCTGTCTTTGTTATGGTAATTCCACCTGTAAACAAGGTTCTGATTCTCTCTGAGGGGCTGGGAATGTATCAATCTATTCTACTGCTCCTGATGGGAGGGGGCCATGCCCTTTTGAACCCTCTTGCCTCCTGGTATAAATACCCTACTTGAGTTTAATAAAGGGCTTTTTTGCTCTTTGGCAAGCGAGCAGGTCTCTTGTGTTTGTCTGTTTAAACCCTTAGGACAGTCGTCCATTCTCGTGGCCCTGGTTCAGGAAAGCGCGCTCCTGGATTAGGCCTGGGTATCCACAGAAAGTGCGGAGGCTTATACTATAGAAGCAAATTTATAAGTCATTTTTAGGACTTTCCATTTGGAAATTGGGGTTGTGGTGAGTACATGATAATTTTCATTCGTCCACTTAACAAAAAGTAATAGTGATCTATTTTTGTGATTTCTCCCTTTATCTAACTGTGGCCAAGGAAGCTGCTAGTGAGGTTTACTCTCTTGGGTGAGTTCTCACATTGTGTGTGTGTGTGTGTGTGTGTGTGTGTGTTTGGAGAAATGGGAACCCTGTATTATCTGATGTACAGTATCCATTTTCTATTTTAAAAAAGTCTTTGACAGTTTTATACATGTATACAATCTTTCTCTCTTTCTCTTAAGCCAATTTCTCTATGTAGCACTGGTTGTCCTGATACTGTATAGAACAGTCTGGTCTCAAACTCAGATATCCAGGGCCTCTTCCTCCTGAGTGCTGGTATTAAAGGTGTGTACCACCTTGCCTAGCCTATACAGTGTATCTTGATTATTTATATTCATCCCTAGTTCTCTCCTCTCCTCAACCAGATATCTCCTAACACATTCCCTTCCCACCTTGATGCCCTTTGTTGGTGTAAGAACCCACTAAGCTCAGTTATCACTGCCGGCTGTAGTAGCGACATAGCTGAGCTTGATTTT